ACTTATTTTAATCAATGTTCTGAGAAATCACATTTAAATAGAAGGCAAGATGTGCATAACATACTGATATTATAAATGTGAAAGTTTAGATGGATTGGTGGATGGATGTTTGTTAGAGTTTGTAGCCTAAACGGCTGAACGGATTTCGATGAAAGATGGTATTTTTAGACAACTTATTTGTACAGTATCAACTGTCGCTTTAAACTCAGAGCAACACTTCTCGTCAGGACTCAGCCAATCTATCCATACTTCTTGCAACATTGACAGCTGTCAGCTAGGGAAGTGACGTTTATGCCGATAATCTAGAGTTGCGCCAATTCTACATTACGGTACTAATTTAGTTCTTAACAGTATAGTTGTAGAGAATATCCTGAAAGAACACATAGGATACTCTCTTTTGTTCTTTTAATTCAAAGCGAACGGTGTTGCGGGCGAAAGCTAGTATTCTAATAACAAAAAGATTACATGAATATGAAGACATGTAACAAGTAGGGCTCGTTTTATAAGAGCAAGCTGAAATTAGCTACTGAAGCACAACGAAGTATAAAATCTCTAGAGCGGATAATAATTACGTATAAAACAATATGTGAACATTTTATTTATGGATATAATAAGTAAAAACGACTACGATGTGTAGCTTGTTGTAAGTGAGAAAAAAGTATCGCTCCTATTCTGTATATCTTCATGATTTTACTATCTTTATATGCCTTTAATAATTAAGAGTACATTTAATTAAAAACAAAGGACTTTTTTGCTATTCTATTTGCATTGCTGATAATAGGATAGAAAGTATGTGCTCTTGCGATATTTTTATATACTATTTGAAAAACAAATTCGAATTATCGAAAGATTCAATCGTATTGTTTTTTATCCGAAACGTTTTATTTTCTTTTATTCGGACACTTGAAAATGGAGTATTAAATAACGCTCGTCTATTAAAATGCAACGTTGTGTAAAAATCTCAAATAGATACAGTATTTTTCGACGCTGAATTCTTGTTAAAATATTCTAATTCATTTGTTAAAAAAACTTAATATCAAGGCAAGTACGAGAGGGTGACTCCACTTGTTTTTCTTTATTACGTAAATATGCCTTTGAAACATTTATGACGCAAATGATTTATAAATAGAGGAAGCAGAAAAATAAGGGAATTATTTGATGATATAAGGAAAAATTGCGTAATTGGTAGTATCAACTAATAAGGACTTTGAAGAGCTTCGTTTCGTCATTATGTAATACTAACTTTTTTCGGCGACTACGTCCGCGTAATATTAAAAAAAATAAAAGCAAGTAGCCTATATATTCTTTCAGACTATGTTCCACATCTATGCTAAATTTTATCCTGATCCGTTCAGTGGTTTAAGCAACAAACTATAACAAACATCCATCTATCTAAGCTTTCGCATTTGTAATATTAGTAAGATGTATATAGCCATAACTATAAACAGGAAATCGTCCTAGAAATTAAATTTGAGAGACATAGACCTTCAAAAGATAAAATTGTTATATTCAGTCCGTTCCTTTCATACTCCGCCAAAGTTATATTTTGTACCGTAAAGCTTCATTAAAACAGTATACACTAGATTGAAACCTTTCGATTCGATAAAAAAATATATCGGGAATACACATACTTCAACTGCCATTCTTATCCTATTGATTCTTTCAACATGCTCTAACTACGAAACTTTGACTATAAAAAAACGGACTAAGTAATGAACGGAGCCGCTGTTTATACTAATTAAGCTTTATACTAATATAATAAATCGTAAACACACACTACTTAGCAGCGTAGGATGTTAGCAATCGCATCATATCTTTGAATAGTTCTTTTCTTAATAAAAACTTTGAGATAAATGAATTTAAAAAAAACCTTCATGTGGGAAAGAGACCATAAAAAACAAGCTGCCAACATTAAGGTAGCCATGGTTTGTCATCGTGTCATGTCATTTTGACATTTGCATTGATAATTTGACACATGTTAACAACAAAATAAAATTTTCATAATTTTCTGCGTATGAAGTCGCACGGGAACAGCTAGTACCAAGTAAATTCTACTTTTTGTAGGAGCTGATGTACAAATATCAAAAGATGTATGTCTCTTTCCATTTAAAACTTTAAAACGTCGTTTTCCCTTGAGACTAGCAATCCTATTATTCAGAGACACGCCCGAAAGTTTACAAAGTTCGCCATCGAGTGCACTAATTTTACAAATATACTTCGTCCTGAAAACCCTTGCAATCACTTACTGTCTGATATTTTCAACATTCATAACTATACTAAGATTCTGCATCTTTTTTTTATATAATATAAGGTGGCAAACGAGCAAGCGGCCACCTGAATCCACCGAAATGGAAAACGACCGCTGCCCATAAACATACGCAATTGCAGATGCGTTGCCTACCCTTAACTGACGGAGGAGGAGATGCCCATAAAGAGGACATTTCCTCTTCCTATGCGTCTCCTCACCGTCAAACCCACTTTTCCTTCCCATCCTTTCCTCATAAGAAAAGGGTGGAAAGGGAACGGGACTAAAATTAGGCCTCCGGCACCACACTCATCAGACGAAACGCGGAATTGCTTCCACTTCATGCCTGTTTTCTGTGTGGTCGTGGTATTGCACCGGGCGAGCCGGCCCATTCGTGCGAAGATGTTAAAGCGGGCTCTACATCTGATCTACAATTATCATCATCACCAGCCATCGGTTGGATTTAGGCTTTCCGCAATTCCGTAACTATAATGTCGGACATTTTATTTCTTAACTAGCTGTTCCAGTGCGGCTTCATCCGCATATAATAATAAAAACTTTATTTTATTGTTTACATTTGACAAATTCTTAAAAATGTAAAAATTACCGTTACCATAATAACCCTGCTTGCCAACATTAAGGCAGCTTGTAGATTATGGTCCCTTTCCCACGTAAAGGTTTTTTTTTTCAATTTATTTACCCCCTAAGTTTAATAGCGTGGAAATATGCACCCTAAAGCGTGTAGGTATAGGGCTTGTAATAAAGAAATAATTATTCAAAAATATACTGTGGTTGCTGACAAGCATATTTTAATAGGATGTCTCCTACACCACGAAGTAGTGTGTGTTTACGCTTTAATACATTAGTATAGATATTTGAATATTTATCCAAATATCATCATCTCCTTATCATATCATATCCTTATGTGCCATCAGATACACTCATCAGGTTTCCTCGTTTCTGTCACTCCTTCATCACTGACTCCCTCAATCACTCCTTTCTTAGTCTTACTCTTACTGACATATAAATCTATATTAAAATTCCATTGCTACTAACATCTAAAACGTTTCGCAACTACTCCATTCATTTCTGTATTCGATTTTTTCTCGCCTGCACATTCGTTACTTTATTTTAGCAACGCAACGCACCGTTCCACACGGAATATCAATGCATATAGGAATTTCATTAAAACTTATTTCCAATCAGACTACATGTAAGGTATTCCTGTACTCGCAACATTACTTCGAAACCGATTTTCCAGGAATTATTTCTCGCTCAAAGCTACTTGCAGTCGGAGAAATATGATCGCCAGTTTTAGAAAAACAGACAAGAAATATTCCACTTAATAGTAGAGCTTACAGCTCCTCTCATATATCAAGCTTCACTGGTACAATCTAAATATAACATTCCACAAAATTCAATTTCAACCCAAATACTTCGTTACATAATGATTTATTAATTCTTTTTATTTTAATTTAGTAACTGGAGTAAAATTAATGTAACAATTTAATTAATTATATTAATCTAATAAATAAATTAACTTGTATTTGTATATTATACTAACTGTTGCCCGCGGCTTTGTCCACGCAATATTAAGATAAAAAGGAACCTATACTATGCCCATCTATGTCAGCTACTCTTCAGTAAACGTCCGATGCAAATCGGCCGGCACGGAGATAACCCAGAACAAACGCGGCTTGCGGACAGACAAACACACAGACAGATAAATAATTTTAAAATGCGATTTTCGTTATCAGCAACACAAATACATCATCTTTCCGAAATCTGGAATTTTTCTTTTGATCTCACAAACAGACACTCCAATTTTATTATATGAGTATATTAAAATCGTTTTCATAACAATAGGTAAATTAGGATAGTAGGCCAAATAGTCAATAATCAAAGCGAATGACTGTTTCATTCAATATTAATATATCATTTGCTATAAATAGTTGCTGCATATCGATTTTATGCAACAATTTAAAGACTACAAATAGGTTTCCTGTATAAAAAAATATCTACCGCTCTATTTTTTTTTTAACTTTTCGTCGCCCAAAAATGGAACAAAGGTTGACATGAAAATAATCCACCGCAATGCATTTGAAAAATCGCATGTTTCAAACAAAACTATAATATCGAAAATAATAATTTCGAATTTAAACCCCGTGAGAAATAACTATAAAAATGTTTACAACCATGAAAGAACAGCACAGCGACTTAATTTTTTTTATAAGTAGATGACTAGCATAGCGTAGACACAAAACTTACAAAATCTCTGGTCTAAGTTATTTAAAAAAAAAACACAAAGATGCATATGCCCATAGCGTAAGCAAATATTACGCCAGCATTTTTTGTAAGAGTTTTTTTATCTAAATCGATTCCAAAAGTTAGTTAAATCCAAGAAAGTAAAGAACTAAACACCACTGTCAAAGTGTAATATTCAAAAAGTTTAAAAATCCACAAGTAATACCAAACCATATGTCTCACTTTTATTCAACTACGGTTTGGTATTATTTAAAAGTAAAAATCTAGATTACGTCTACTCAAATGAGTAATAACTGAATCTAATAAAATATTTTAATATTTTTTTGTGCTTTATAATAATGTTATACCGAAATTTCAAAATTTTAATAGAAATATAATAATCACACAATTAAATATTCGCATAAAAAGCTTCAATAAATATTTTAGAGCTTTAAGAAGCTTTCATTTGACATCCTAACTTATGAAATTAACAAAGTTTCAGTGTACTTACGAGAGCGGAGGCAGCAACAACCACACTTGCAAACAGGTACAAGCTCGCGACGCAACTAGTGCCTTTGCCTCCGTTAAGCAACAAACTGCCTCGTCCAATGCGCGGGGGAAACTGGCACAGATTATTGTCGCGGTAAAAATTACTTGAATAATGTTATTGTTTTAAAATGACAGATAAATGTTAATTTATGTTTCGATTGCTGCTTTAATAAAACTTTGTTATTTAATATCAAAATAATTTTAATATCAAATGCTAAAAAAATACGTCAAAGTTGTTGTTTTTTTAAATTTCGTAAACGGAACTTCACTTGTTTTAGCCTTTAGGAAAAACAATTTACACTAAATTTATAAAAATCATTAAACTTTAATCGCAAAACGTTTTCTATTGTTTTTTGCAAGTTAATGTTAGAGCTACTACAATAATTCTAAAAGGCTTCATATTCACCGCTAGATGGCAGTGAAACTCAGAAATTTGGTGCCAACTATTCGATACTAGATGGCACTGTTATTAATTGTTATGTTGCATAAATTTTGCATGAAACCTCCTACCAAAACAAAAAATACTTTACTACTACTACTTTAGTTTTAATTTTGCAAACTGAGCTAAATATGTTTATTGTATTGAATCCCACTCTGCTTTTTCATTCGACCTTGACTACTTACGTCATATGAGTATGGAATAGCCAGTGGTGCACTCAGGACGGAGAATCAATCTTCTTTGAAAGAAAAATTGCAGATTTCGGGAAGATGGTGTACTTGAGTTGCTGATAACGAAAGTCGCACTTATTTATTTTTTTGCCTGTCTGTCTGTCTGTCCGCAAGCCGCGTTTGTTCCTGGTATTCTCCGAAAAGGCTGGGCCGATTTCGACTGCACTTTCACTGAAGGTTAATTGACATAGACGGGCATATTATAGGTGTTACTTATTTTAAATTTCACGCTGTCAAAATGGCGACTAGACCGCTATCTGTGGAACGGGTGGACCGATTCGGACGGAACTTTGACGGGAAGGTAGCTTTTAAAAGGTTGTTCTGCGCTAATGAAGTTTGCGGGCGACACTTCGTCTAAAATAATATGTAACTAGCAAACTATACTCTTTCTATTTTAATGTCATATTTTTGTGTTGACTGTCGAATCCAAACTTTCTTACGGATATTAAATAATTGAATTTATTAGGTATTTAAAAAATATAGGTTTGGTTCCCTTTGATTAATAAATTCATTACCTTAAATTTACAAGCGGCCTACCCTGCCACACCGTGATCACTCCCATGGTCATGATCTATTTTTAAATCTTATTCTTTTTAATATTTCTTAAGAACGTAGATTATCTTAATTATTCGGAAATACAGGTAAAATAATACAATATACAAATATGCCAATTTTTATTTAAATTTAGATTTTCACACACTTAAAACTAAACAACATAATACATAATAGATATATAAATAATACTTAAAATATGTAACATTTTTGATTAATGCGAATTGAATGCCATTTTGTCAAAATAAATAAAGCAAATATAATAGTTCTTATTAACTAAGTTAAGTTTTAGAGTGTAAGTATAAAGGCGGAACTGTGTCTTCAACGAAGATACCGATTAATTCTGAAACAAAAAAAAAACAATAAGTCATTATCGAAATAAATAAACAAGGCAAGCCAAATTAGACTGTTCAATTAGTATATTTTTCCCTCAATAACAATAGATACAAATTCCAAAATACTTTTCAAAGAAAAGAAATAAGATTTAACGGAAAATAAACAGTTTTCTCTAATTATCTACCTGTTTTAAGAAAGAATAGACTGAACGGGAAAGGCTAAATTTAGACCTCCGGCATCGACAAATGATACGGTCAATAATGTTTATTTCCAACCCAGTTGGACTAAATATCATTCGATGCTCACTTTGCAATTAGGTCGAATATTTGTCATAGTAACTATATACGAGCTAGATGGTAAAAGAATTTATTTCTTCGAGTGTACATTATTATAATGAATACTTACGTAGCAACACTCAACGCCGAGGTGCCTTTGTTTCGGACACAGTACTCCCCTCATATGTACCAAATTGTCCTGGTCACAATCCTCGATCCTACGGCACAGACCCCCTTGTCTTACACAAGGCTCCTCCATGGTGATGAAATTTATTACTGTGAAACATTAAATAATATTAACAAATACTTCTTTCTAAAAATCTATACAGTTAATAAAATTGGATTGTCTGCAATAGAAAAAAATCCAGATTCCTCGCTATATTTTCGTTGCAGATAACGAAGATCGGATTAAAAAAAACGATTGTATGCCTATCTGTTCGCAAGCAGCGTCTGTTCTGTAATCTGCGAAACGGCTGGGCCGAATTTGCTTTTGATTTTTTTTTAATTCCGCGCTGTCAAAATCTCGTCTGACCGCCTCTGGAACGGATGGAATTTTGACGGGACCTTCACTGGTAAGGTAGACGGGTGCACGCGGGAATATTCTGGATAACCTATTTTTTTAGTTCTACGGTAACGAAGTTTGCGGGCAAAAGCGTATGTTTAAGTTTCTTGTCTGTCTGTCTATACGAAAGGTTGCGTTTGATTGGGGTGACATCCGAAAAGCCTGGGCCGATTTTTGACGAGATCATAATATTAGACGTTTCTTCTTTTTTTTAATTTGCGCTGACAAAGTAGTTGTCTGCCGTTAGTTATTAGTAATTTTCTACGAACTGTACAGAGCGGCAATGATTCGATTTCAACGTAAACAACGTTGGGGGACGCGCGATCTGTGTTAGTGTAGCGGATTATTTTTAAGCAACCTTGACCGCTCGCCACACATTCGCGTCGATACAACACGACGTATTCGTCCGTTTAAATTGTATTACCGTCGAAATTCGCTAAAATAGTTCATTTTAATAGCATATTGCTCTATGAGAAAATATCCCTATGGCTCGTTGTTTAGGCAAGGCAATAATGTAATGTGTAATGTGGCAAGAGACATTAAATTTGGTCGAAAGTAAACGGCAGGTTGAAACCAAAGAAATTAAAAGATTGCCTAAATACTATCTTGAAATAACATCTGAATTTGAATTCTAGGTTACTAATTCTATTGTCAATTTTTTTTTTCTTTATCTTACTGAATATTAAACATAACAAATACGAAATCGACATCACTCTAAGTTTTAAATCGGTAAAAATCTTAAGGTGTGGTTTTTTCAGTTTTATCTTTTCAAGTCGGTAAAACTAACGATATACTCTTATTTCATAATCTTATTTCGATAACAATTCGTCAACCTTCTAACGATGTATCTTTTCGGAGATTACTTCTTACTCTTCAGTTAAAAAGTTGAAATTTAATTAGTGTAATTGTCAACAACCGCTACAATTACTACAGCTGTTATTATTTATTAAACGAACGTACGATTTAAAAATCAATTATCTTTGGAGATAAAGTTATTGAAGTCTATCAAAACAGAGAATATTCGATTGCAGCGAGCTATAAATAACTAATAGAGAAATGTTTAACAATTATTTTAACTGATAAGAAGAGTCTGGAAGTTGCTTGTCAACATGCGAGAAACATTGATAAATACAAAGCGGTAATTAAATACATTTACATTAAAATTTAATTACTTAGTTAAACAAAATGTTTTTACAATTATATCTAATACACCTCTAGCATATCGAAAGCGGATCGGACCGAACAGAAGCGAAACTTTGCACGGATAATGTAAATACGAAGAGAAAATTCGCTCCCCATCAGATTTAGTCTAACTTTTAGTACTAGAACAGAAGCTACTAAACTTTTCACTGGTTCAAACCAAATCCATGCTAAGTATAGTAATTACAATACGTTCGCTTCGGTTCCAGTCCACAATTTAGTATTAGGGGATTCGCTAGCAATAATCGCTTTTAAAGCTATTTTATAAATACTTACATTCCATTGGAGCTCTTTCTAAAGGGACAGCATCGATGGACACCAGTAACAACACGGTAACAGCAAACACAGTTCGAAAATGCATTATTAAATACTGAGGTAGTGATCTAGGCTAATGTTGTATATCGTCTGGCAGCGAGTCATCGTGCCCGATGCTTTTATACGCACGCCATGCGTTCGTAAACACGTATGCGACGGAGATGTGCGTAAATCTTGCTCATACGAAATGCAAAAATATATTGCGTAAACAAAAAGTATTATTTACCATTATGAAAATATCTTATTAACTTTCCAAGGTTATTAAAAACAAACCTATACCTCAAGACCCTTACTTGAAGTGATAGGTGTTCATAAAACCGTTTCTATTCATATGTGATACATACGAGTATATCATAAACATGTGCGAATGTAGCATGTATTAATTGATATAATTACTCTGTATTGAGCAAGGAATGTTCTTATTTAACTAAATTAGTTCATTAATCGGGAATTCCTCGCTTCAGACTCACTAAGACATTTCTATGCTATGGATATAGTTGTAAATCATAAGTGTTCCTATGACGAGCAATTTCACGTTTCGTCTAATGAATGTGCCTAATTTTGATATTTATCTTTTTCTTAAGACGAAAGGATGGGAAGGAAAAGTGGATTCGAAGGCGGAGGACACGCATAGAAAGGGGAAATGTTCTCTTCATGTAAATTTCCTCTTCCGTTAATTAAGAGTAGGCAATGCGTCTGCAATTGCTGTGTTTATTGGTAGCGGTCGCTTCGCCATTTCAGGTGGCCGCTTGCTCGTTTGCCATCTTATCATATAAAGAAAAGTAATACAAAAGTATGTCTTTACAAAATCTAACATATTATAATAACGTAGCGATTCTGAGTGATTACCTCTAAGCTACCCAAAGACCCGACAATGTCCTCAACTGCAAAACATCATACTACTCGTATAAATGCGAAAGTGTAGATGGATGGATAGAAGAATGGGTGGGTGTTTGTTAAGTAGCCTATACTGCGGAACGGATCTCGATGAAATTTGGCATAGATGTAGAGGATAGTCAGGAAGAACACATGGTTTACTCACTTTTGTTTTTTTTTACATCCACGTGGCCGTAGTCGCGGGCGATAGCTAGTTTATTCCTAACGTAGTTCTTGTTGCATGGGACTTTTACCTTAATGTTTAATTGGCCACACATTTTCGCAACATTATGCTTTATCGTCCCTCGAACCTTTCTCAATTGTAATACTCATCTTTAAAGCCATACTTTTCTCTTACTTTTACTAATCCTATTATTTATGGTCACGAATTGAACATAAAATTTCTCAAATCTATGGTATTGACAACAATTTTATTAGCACTAAAATCATTGTAAAAGATTCATTCATATCTTTCGAATGTTGTTCATTAATCTAATTTTTACTTATGTATCTTAAGATAGGCCAGTCACATGGTCTGAAATAGAGTAAACATCAAGTTAGGAATAAACGAGTACACAAAATGCTATAATGCTATCTCCACTGACCTCTGTAAATGGACAGGAATAATGTCATTAATATCATAAAGCGCGATTCGGGACATATCAATACGTTTTATTTCCAAACAATCGCTTATCAATTTATATATCCATTAGCTTCCGCCCGCGACTCCGTCCGCGTGAAATGGAAAAAAACAAAAGAGAGCATTCCGCGTTTCGTCTGATGAGTTGGTACCGGAGGCCTGATTTCACTTTTCTTTTCCATTCCTTCCTCAACAGGAAGGAATGGGAAGGAAAAGCGGATTTGACGGCGCAGGGAAACGCTTATGTAGGGGAAATGTCCTGTTCATGTGCGTCTCGTCTTCCGTTGATTAATAAGGGTAGGCAACGCATCTGCAGTCGCGGATGTCTTTGGGCAGCGGTCGTTTTACCATGTCGGCGAATACTGGTGACCGCTTGCTCGTTTGCCACCTTATATTATAAAAAAAACTTCAATAGCATTACAGATAATATATCTGTTTTCCCACTTTTATATTATAGCATATGTTTGCGGAAACGTTCAATAAATTTTTAATCTAAGTCAGTCAAACCTTGACACAGCGTTGAAGGAATTTTTTCGTTATTGTTTCCTTGGTTATATGGGTTAACCGGATGTCTTGAAATAGACGACACGCCCGCTCAGAGAGGCGATCCAACGCCTCAATTTTACAACTCCGTGCTCGCTAAATTTGAATTATTCCCAACCGTCACCCCGCTTTGTCCCCACGAGGAGACAGATAAGAATAAAAAGTTACATCAATCCCACTTTTTGCGACGAGTGGACGGTTGGAACTTATTTTATTATACATATATATTTTATTTCACAACGGTTCCATCTGTCACCCTATTGATGATAGTGGGACTAAAATGGGTGACGGATGAAACTTTTTATTCTCACGTGTGGACAGAGCGGGGTGAGGGTTGGGAATAATCCCTAAATTTCATCTGATTATACATATTAGTTATGGGGAAAAAGAACGTAAGCCTTAGGTCTCATAAGGTGACTTTGTTTTTATTCGCGTCGTTCACCATGTGTCAATGCTAATATTGCTTCCCTAGCTTCTTTACATGACACCCCGCTGATACAAAACAAAAGACAAGCGATATCAAGTCTCAGTAGTCTACAAATATATTTGGTATATGTATTGATGTATGCCTTTATGAAGGCGATAAAATTAAAGATGTCATAGGATTAAGATCAATCGAAATCCGTAATCCTTGCTATGATATTTCAGGTTTCTGTTCACCGTATTTTAAACGGACTATAAATAAGAAGACGTTCTATATACGATCATTTTTTAATGTATTTTCTTCTTATACTCCTATGGTACCCAGTGTTGAGGTAGCATACTAATGATGAAAGAATTTTTAAAATCGCACCTATAGTTTATCCATACATTAAAATACAAATAGGAATACTATTTATTACATTAGTATAGATTAAACCAGAATGAACGAATAAATAACATATGAGTCACATATCGGTGTTAAAAGCGAACATAAAATGTAAACTCCATCATAATGCACTACAGAACTTATTAAAATATTAATGTAAATAAACGAGAATCGACACGTTAAGAGATACTTTCTCACAACTGCGTCATATTCGATTATTTCCTGGCCTTGGAAGTAACAACAAAACGTCGCAGCCGGTCTGACCCTAAGACCTTTTAGTTATCCGTAAAACTATACGCAAATGTTCTTGATAAATATTTGTGAAAAATATTATTCGCAAAATCAGTAGGTATAAGCTTTCACATAACCTACTGAATTGATTTTAAAAATTCTTTCGCCTATATATCTATCTATGAAATTGGCATTTAAGTTTATGCGCCATATTGAAACATTGTGCGTTGTTCAAATGTCTGTCCTTGGCGGTATTTACAAACCGCTACTTGGGTTCTTCAAAAATCCCCCTTGCCCTCCCCTCCTCCTCTCATCCCGTCCTTTATAACAAAAAATATCAGGTGGGTTCGCGGTCAAGCGTGACATACTTATTATTTCATTTTTAGCAAAGAGAAAGAAATGGATGCCAATATCTTTTTTCTAATTTTACTTAATAATAGTAACCTACAGTAATTCGGTACTATTAAGCCCGTAACATACGTTCATCTTTAACTGCACTAACTACACCGAATTGGACAGTTAAAGCTGGCGCCACTTAAACTTTACAATTTTATTTGGCAACACACTGTACAATAGAACTATAATGTTAAAACTGAAGGTGTACAGCAGGCTTTATATTTCCAAGCAAACCTGACTATGCTCACGTCGCCATTGATTACAAAGACACGTGTCGCATTAATCAAATCATATAACTAGCAAAGAAAGTATAACTAAGTACCTCTTTGGTGCTGACCTCAATTTATCTTCACATGTCACCATTACTCATCTCACAAACTGCAAAATATTTACTCATCCTGGTAATGTTTTCGCTACAAAGTCTCAGTTGCGGACACTTACCTACAATTTCATATAGCACTTGCATTAACTGCGCAGAATTTCTTATAATAGATTTATTTATCGTTGGACCTTGTAAATCTTACTACAACTACTTGTAAACCTTACATCTTACTAATATTATAAATGCGAAAGTTTAGATGGATGGATGGGTGTTTGTTAGAGTTTGTAGCCTAAACTAGTGAACGGATCTCAATGAAATTTGGCATAGATGTAGAGCAGTCTGGAAGGACACATAAGCTGCGTACTTTTGTTTTTTTTTTTTAATTCCATCCGGACGGAATCGAGAGTAACATCTAGTATTTATAGATTGTATTCCAAGGACACTTCTATCGAATGGGTGGTTTATTATTCCAATAAATATGATAGCCGTATCTTTAAAAGCATTAAGCACTTAAATTATGATTTTGTTTTTGTTAGTATTAGTGCTTTAAAGTTACGTCTGCTTTCCACCGACAGATGGCGCTGAAATGATGGACAGATTCCCTAATGTTTGTTTCGTAAAATCGATAATTTTATTTAACATTTTTTTCGTTTGTGCAAAATAACACTTTCTTTATTTTCATCGTTTACATGTAGCATTTAAAGCAATAAACAAGGAAGATCTTTGTTCGAACAGATAAGTGCAAATTCACTGAAAACAATTTTCTGCGAAAACATTTGGATATTTTGTTTCCATATTAATTGTAAGTGTATAAGTGTTCATATCAACAGAGGTCACTGTTATCGCCCGAATTACTATAATACAGTTTTATGAGTTCACTCAGGGGCCTTCTGAGAACGTTTTATCGACATACAAAACACAGCAGGGTAAGCAGAGAGTATAAATTCCATAAGACACGACTACCCCCACCACAACCTCGTGCGTCTATCTGCTTACTTTGTTTTTAAAAGAGGATGTATCGGTCATTATAAATTAACAAATTATCAATGTGCTCTCCAGTAGAATAAAGACTTAAATGTACTTTTTAACATTTTATTACGACCATTAAATTATTATCTAAAACTTATGTTAACACTTTAAGTTCATAGAAAACATATAAGTATTCTTCAATCCGAAAATTGGAAACTAAAAGACCACTGAACTAAATTGAATCGAAAAATCGATCACCAACCATTTTCGCTTACCGACTTTATTACTAATTTTTCTTTTTTAGTAGGAATTTAAAAGAATTAACCGATCTAAAGGTATACAATTTTCGGATTGAAAGAAAAAGAATCATCCAAAATCGTTTAAATTACAATATTCCAAATTATAATTTTAGCAAATTAGGTTTGATTTAAAATACGTTTTAAAGCCGAAAAAAAGAACAGTAAGTGATCAGAGTCACCTTTTCATTATATAAAACATTTTTTAATGGACTTCTTAATTTTTAAAGATAAAAAATTACAAGGACTTAGATTCGTTAGTATAATAAATGAATATTCATATAAATTATCTCGATCTAACATAAAAATGATTTAAAAAAAATCATACAATTTTTGCATTAACATCAAAGAATGACAAAATCGACAATTTGTGAAATAAAAATTACCCGTGTTAAATGTAATGGTAACTATAATAATAATACTTTAGCCCACATACACACAGGCGTTTTTTTAACGCTCGGTAAAAAAACGTCTCAATGAAACAAAAGAACTTCCATGCACCTACTCATTTGTTTATAAAGCAGTGCTAATATAGAGTAATTTTAAAGCGTACGAGCGATAACGTTAAAAAAGCGTTAACTCCGAGCGTTAAAAAACGCCCGTGTGAGAAAGGGCTTCTGAGATTCAATTTAAACATAATACGGGTCGTTATAGGAACTAAATGTGATTAACGGTGGTACCGTACTAATACTGACCATATCTTAATTACAAAGTAGACTTTAAAACATTGAATACAATAAAAGCCTGCCCTAACAGGTAAGAGAGAACACATCGAGCTACGATATGTAAGGACCATTCTAATTATAATAGACACCAATATCATATAATTTAAACTATTTCTATTTCAATTATGACTATGTCGGAGATATCGGAATATAATTCACTAATTCTTAACATGGCTCCTACGTAAATCGTAAATTTAAAATGCAATTTTTTTCATGACTAACATTAACTATGAAATACAAACATGAACATACGATAACCAAACTATTTAATTTACCAAATATGTATTAAATTTAATATGTTGGTTGATAGTTTAAAATTAAAACATTTACTATTAGTAAGCAAGACTGTAATGAATCCTATTTTTGTATGTAAAAATCAAAAGATACTCGATTTTAAAAATTCTTTCACCGTTAAAAAGGTAATTTATCTATGAATAACAGAATGCATCTTTTTATTATTTTTAATTCCATGCGGGCGAAGTCGCAAGATACGCCTAGTTTTATATAAAGTAATATAAATATATTTTGAAATAAATAAATAATATCTACATTATTATTTGAAACATGACTTGACAGGTAATTTCAATTGAAATGTTTTTTTACAAAAATCACATATTTGGTATCATTTAATTATTTGGTTTTCATTATTTAAAACATTACATATATGGGTGTGAACATTTTGAATTTTTTTTTGTCAAAATAAAATCCTGACAGATTAGAAATTGAATTATATTAATAGTAGTTACTTATAATTAATTTAAGAAATACTGTTAATTCGAAGATTTGAATAATAAAAATCAGTACTGTTTTTGTATAACTAATCTATAAAATACGTTATTTCTAAATTTAAATTTAAAGTAACAAAGATATTTCAAAACAAAAAATGATTGGTATGATAAAATTTGATCTCATTTTTGAATTTTGATTTTATTAAATCAATAACAAAAAAATCTTTGGTTTTGTGCTGAAAATATGTGCGCAACGCAATTAAAAAATCAAACTAAATATTGTATAGAGACTAAAAAAATACATTATTTACGTATATCTAAAGATACAATTTCGAACTGTTTCGAAATAAGAACAATGGGAAATATTCCATATATTAGAGAAAAAAATCACAGAGAAATTTTAAATTTGATTTCGAGATTTTTTTTCACTTCCAATTTAATACTTCCCTTTTGTTTATTTATTTGGTATATTTCCTTGAAGGATGCCCAAATGTGTAAAGTCCTAATATAAGTAGTTCCCAATATTTTATAAGATAATTTAAAAATGAAATTTTTCAAATTGACCATGTAAAAATCTATGTTCCACCCTGTTATCAATTTTTTATCTAAGACGCCTAAAGGCTTTTACATTACTTATGAGAAAATCCAATACTTACTACGTGATTTGACAAATGTAAATTTCAAAGGGATTTTTGTTGCATTTTGAAGGTTTTTCAATACATTTCGATAAGCCATTCCAAATCTTCCATAGTAAGTACTATCATATTAAGATTTCTACCCAAATATGGTAAAAGATAATTTAATATAAGATCGTCCTACACTTTTAGCACCATAATACCATTATATATAATCTACATCAGTACGTTATATCAGTAATTATGGGTTTTCATTGCCGAAACATGTACAAAAACATAATCAAACTTATACATTCTACAGAAGCTTGAGTACATTAAATTATAGCGCAATCTGGCTTATCTCCAAAAACTTCGAATTTCTTATAATTTCAAGGTTTTTCTTTATTTCTGTACATGATTATAATGTTTAAAGATTTGTATGATTAAAAAAAACTAAAAAGGAATCAACAAAGTCGAAAACACTAGATCAACGCCATCTATGATCCACTTTTTAAAACTTCAATCTGAGTTTTACAATTACTTGCTTTACTTATACATTTTGCAATAAACCTTTTATAAATCAAGGTTATTATCCATACAATTTCACCAACTTTCTATACATTAAAAGCTGATCAAAACGCATATCAATATCATATATTAACAATAAATTAACATGCATAATTCTAACATCAAATATCAGAATATTCATACTATTACAATTGAAAATCTTATAATTCACATAGAAAGAAGATCCCACTTAATATATTTTTAAATTCAATTAAAGACATTAATATAAGATATTGTCTAAACCACATATAAAGAGACAAACTAGTACGAAATTAATCCTTTTTATTTGGAACATAGGTATTTTGTTAGTGTTTAAATAATCGAAAAATTTTTTAAAACATGAACGGATTTATCTGTGGGACGGAGAATATAGTTTAGTTAGAAATATAGTTAGGAGACAGTATCAGAAAATTATCAAGTTACACATTATATTAAAATTCCCATTAAACATTGGATAACATTTCTAGGACAAATAGAATAGGCCAATAATACTTGTAAAGCACATATAAGTATAAAAACATTCAATGTTTATGGCGAATCGAGCCACTATAAAGTTTGTATCGCACTGTACTTAGAGAACGGATATTTGGGCAAAGCCGTTGAGAGCATTATCATCGAAATCAGCGTTCGGTGCAGCGGAATTCTGAAAAAAAAAAGAAAAAAACTAAATTCGGAAAAAATAAAGAAAGACGGTTGTCTAGATACCAATTTTATCAAATTTAAACTACATTAATAAAACATACGGGGAAGTGGATTTGACGGTAGAGGAGATGCATAGGAAGGGGAAATATCCTCTTTATGTGCGTCTCCTCCTCCGTCGGATAAGGGTAGGCAACGCATCTGAAATTGCGGATGTCTATGGGCAGCGGTCGCTTCGCCATTTTGACGGTTTCAGGAGGCCGCTTGCTCGTTTGCCACCTTATGATATAAAAAAAAATACTTCAATTATGCTTTACTTAATAATTACAAAATATTTGGAGAAAATATTACTTGCATTTCCTTATATCTATACTATTATAATAAAGCGTAAACACACACTTCTTTGTGGCGTAATATATCAGCAATCACAGCATATTTATAAACAATTCTTTCTTTAATATAAAGCTCTACATTTACGACAAGCTTTAGGCTATATTTTTTCACGCTATTAAACTTAGGGGGTAAATAGATTGTAAAAAAAACCTGTGGAAAAGGGACCATGACCTACAAGCTGCCAAAATTAAAAAAAGCAAGGTTATGGTAACGGTGTTTTTAATATATTTTAGCATGCAATCATACTAATATTATAGATGCAAAAGTTCAGATGGACGTTGTAGCCTAAACGGCTGAACAGATTTCGATAAAATTTGGCGTAGGCGTAAAGGATAGTCTGGAAGAACACATAGGATAATTAGTTCTGTTTTTTTTATTCCACGTCGATAGAGTCGCGGGCGAAAGCTAGTATGTAATAAAATACTTACAAGATGGAATGTTATAGTTTTGTATGGTATCTGTGCGGTGGAAGCTTGGGCGTCGAGCAGCTGCTCCAAGTGCAATGTGATGAGGATAGCATCCTGCGGCTCTATCAGACCAGCCCCCACCAACTCTAAGGCAATACCTTCAGATGTGTCCTTGCCTTTAACGAAATTAAAGCGAATGTCATTTAACTCACCATGGGCATTTCTGTAATAATGAGAATATATGTTTTAAATAGTAGTAGTAGAGTCTCTTTTTCCTAACCAGTTACCTAGGTAATTTTTTTTCGTTGTTTTGGTAACTTTGTAATTTTTTTCACTTTTGTAACCGGTAGGGTGACTACAAAAATAAATCAGAACATCAGCGCAGGAATGGCTTATTCCCTCGTGTATACACTGTGCTGGTTACCTTTTTGCCACGATTTTAAGTTTTCTTTAGAATAAGTCCGTTTATGTAATACTTTTTTGATCGCTTTCCCAAAAGAAGTACGTACTCAATTCGTCTGTATGTTTTTTTTGTTTGACCGATTTTGATAAGTCTTTTAATATTCATTCAAGTATTTTCGTAGTCATCTATTATTAATACAAATACCACTTTCCTTTCACATTCCAATTTGGCCAGTAAGAACTTGACCAGATAAAGTAGTATCAGTGCTTTGGTATCCGGTATTTGTATTTTTACGAGTCAGAAGACTAATATAGTAGTTTCGTCACATTATTGTTTAAAAAAATTCACCAAAAAAAATTGTGGAATTGGTTGGATGACTTCCGGCGCATAAATCATATAAACCGCGGCCAAACGTAAAATGTCAATAAGATAGATAATTATTTTACACTAACTTTGGCCTTGAAATCGATGGCTGATCATTTTAACATTGGATTGATAACAAGAAACTAACAAAGTGTACACAATTTAGCACAAAAACTGATTATTAAATAGAAAAAAAAATCTTTCACAACTAGTTACCAAACAGCGAATAAAGCATTATTATTTACCTAACCGGTTAGGTAACTGGTTAGGAAAACGGAACAATACTTTTGGATTGTTCTGCTGTGGTTTCCTCAACTCCACGGCTAGCTAGAACCCAAGCATACTTTTAATCCGGGAGATTTCAAACCCTATATTGTTAATGCTATCCTTATTTTTTCAAGAAAAATTAGAGAAACCAGAGTAAATTAACAATTAAATGGTTTTTGGACTCACCGTATACGCAACATCAGATTTACAACAGGCTGTTCCTGTGAATGTGTTGATTTCTCTTCATTCAGAGCCGAGGTAGATGGGCCCTGTTAAATTAAATATTATATACTAGATGTTGCTAGCGACATCGTTCCCACGAAAATCTTACTAACCTTACTAATAATTAAATGTGAAAGTTTAGATGGATGGATGGATGTTTGTTAGAGTTTATAACCTAAACAGGTGAACGGATTTCAATGAAATTTGGCATATATGTAGACTGCAAGAACACATAGGATACTCACTTTTGTTTTTTTTAACACCACGCGGACGAAATAACAGGCGAAAACTAGTAAAAATATATGCCTATGCTACTCAGTAATAACATAGGTTATAACAATGAAAGAATTTATCAAATTAGTCAAGTAGTTTTTGAGTTATTTCAATACATATAAAAATACAAATCTTTCCTCTTTATAACAGTAGTATAGATTAATCCTGAATATTAATTGTCTAATTTTGTGTACTAGGTTATATTGAACATTATAGTAAAGAAAATATTGTAAAATGGGTCTTATGTAGTTAAAAACAATTTATTTGCTACCTTTTTTATAAAATAATATTACAAAAATAAATTTTATACCGCATAAAGAACAAAGACAATCAAATATTGATTTTTGTGTAATTTACTACTGTCATAAATTATTTTGGATTGCTTTACATAAAAAATTCCGAGCTTGTTTAAAGTTTGAATAGCATAATACTTGACATTTAAACTGAATTACTCACAGCTGTTTCATCAGGATCACTGCCACTTGAATCAACTCTTTGGATTTTGTTCATCGGTTTCTCATCATCAGGTATACCTTCTCCAATGGAAGATCCCCCTGCTGAGCCTAACTTTCCCTCACTCTCCACAATCACATAAGCCTCATCCCCTTGTTCCAATTCATCATCACTCCACTCCCAATCACCAGTTAATGTGCGGCTCAAACGACCAAGTGTCACCTGTTTTTTATTTACCTGGAATACAGAATTTTCTTTTTATTAAAAGAAATTTTAATTACACATTTACCTTTTTAGGAATTTATACTTTTTGTGACAAGAGTATCCTGTCCACATATTTTATATATTACTAGCTTTCGCCCACGACTTCGTGTGCGAGGTATAAAAATAAAAAGTAAGTAGCCATGTTTTTCCAGACTGTTCTATGACTATGTCAAATTTCATTGAGATCCATTTAGCAGTTTAGTTTACAAACTCTAACAAACATCCATCCATGTAAACTTTTGCATTTATAATTTTAGTAAGAAGTAAGATTTTTGACTTTTTTCTTTAATTTGTCTCAATTTATGACGACTGACGGAATAAGAAGTACTGTGATCATGTGTAAATAATAAGTAACAATATATATGTTTAATTTGACAATATACGGAATTTAGAGTTGGCAAGATAAAGCAGACTGTGTTATTGTTTAATTAACTGGCACTCTTGTTTAAAAGACTATGGATAAATGCTTACAAATGCCAAAAATATTATCATCCAAATCATTATTCTGCAAGTTAATCAGAAACTTTTTTTTTAATATTTATTCATCAAATTATCCACAAACCTTATGGACTCTAGCTTCAAGAGTAGCACTGGTATCAATTAATGTTTGTGCGAGATATTTTTTATCTTTGGCCTTCTTGAAAAATGGGTGTTTCAACAACTCGGTGGCAGTTGCTCGCTTCAATGGATCCTTTTGCAAGCAATCACTTATAAGCTTGCGGAATGTTTTCCCATAGACCTTGTACTGATCTTTTTCAGCACCTGAAAATATAAATTAATTTTATAACAACTTTTGCTTGCGACTTTGTCTACGCGGAAATAAAGTATCCTTGATAAAGCCTATGTTACTCAGTAAAATTGTAAATTTCCAATAGTGAAAGATTTTTAAAATCGTGTCGATAGTTTTTGAGTTCTATTTCATACAATAATACAAATCTTTCAGTGTAAAAGTGTTGCCGTTTGCTCTATTAAATTTTTCAAAAAAAAGGGGAGAATTTCAAATACAGTTACTAAAGTTTGAAAATACATTTGTAAATCAGCAATACTGTTATTTATTTATTTTTAAACGTATTTTATATCTTACCAGTATCCAAATTAGGCGGATCATTTTGCAAGGTGAGCATAAGCACTTTCATCGGCGGATACATGTGATAGGGCGCGGCCCCGGTTGCCATTTCTATAGCGGTTATCCCAAAAGACCAGATATCCGCTTTGTAGTCATAACCATGATCCTGAAACAAACAGTATGTATTACTCACTTTACTATTCGTACTAAGCAACTAAAATGTCAATCAAAACATCATCTGTTATAAAAATCGATCCAAAGATTTTGGCTTTTTAATTTTATGATTCGCAGTAGACGCAGCTCAAATAAGTTTCAGAATTATTGTGTTCGCCTTGCAGAGAATCTAATTAAGTAATTCTTAGTGAAGGACAGATATTTCTACAATACAAGACATAGGTCTTTACTCTTTTAAATTAGATTTTTAATAATGAAAGAATTTTTGAAATCGGCCCAGTAGTTTTTGAATTATTTTATCATATATCAGCAGCATATATAGACTGTGCAAGCAAGTTGATTACATAGGAACTAGACATAATATAATGCACAGCAATTCCTGTTGAATAACACTAATTTATGAGCTTAACATTAACATAATTTCGCAAAAACTGAACATATTTTCTCGCTCTTATTACTAAGTAAAATGCAATCTTATTAATTTGCAAAATTAATAATCTACTAGTTAACACTACATTACTAATAGCACTCTCGCCATGCTGGATAAAGTAAAAATGTAGTTTGAAAAGTTGCATAGATAGTTTATTTCTTCATTTTTAGGACAGGAACATGTTTAGTTAAAAAATGTTACGACCCCCATACAATAAGAGTCATGCCACACGTGCACTGCGTCACTAAAAATCTCGTCGTACTATTTTCAATGACAATGTAATCTTTGATGTCACAGCATCAAGTACATGTGAATTTCAACAACGACGAAATTTATTAAAACATCGCGACAAGTTATGGCAACGCTCGTGTGGCATCACTCTATGACTCACAGCATAAAAGATAGTATATTTACTTGTTCCATGACTTCAGGTGCCATCCAGCACGGTGTCCCAACAAAGGTGTGTCTAACTCTTTGCTTAGACATGTCCTTGTCCATCGCGAGCCAAGCGGACACACCAAAGTCACCTATCTGCACCGACCCATCGTCACCCAGCAAGATGTTACCCGCCTTTATATCCCTATATTTATAAATAAACGATATTTAATATAATCTTACTATTATTAATGCGAAAGTTTAAATGGATGTATGGATGTTTGTTACAGTTTGTAGCCTAAACAGCTGAACAGATCTCAATAAAATTTAGCAAAGAAGTAAAGGATAGTCTGGAAGAACACATAGGCTACTCACTGTTGTTTTTTTTTTTAGCTCCACACGGACAGACGCACAGGCGAAAATTAGTAAAATAATAAATCAATAAGAATAAAGAAGGGGATAAATGCTGGTTAATGAGAATGAAATAAATTCATGTAGGATAAAATTAAAATAATTAAAAAAAAAACATTAATATTAGCCTATTGTACTTCCTACTATATTGTACTTCCTGACTATTTTCCACATGTACCAAATTTCAGTGAGATTCTTTGAATTGTTCCGGAGATACTTAGTAGCATCCATCAATCTAAATGTAGTATTGAACTATCAAATCGCATTATTTTTCGCTAGGCTATTATCTACATTTGTCTACTACCCTTGAAAATGTGGAACATTAAAAGTTCGCTATGCTACACTTTAAAATCAGACCAATAGTTTAAAAATGCAATTTTACAATAATTTAACAAACATTCTATTGAAGAAGTTTACGCTCAGCTTTCTGCCAGTATAACTATACCGATTTCAAAACCAATACAAAAAAAACCTAATGATAATCCTCTCATTTTCTTTGAAAGAGTACAGTATGCTGCATAGATATATATACATAAAACAACATAGAAATTTACCTGTGTATCTGTCCATTATTGTGGAAGTACTCAAGCCCTTTCAAAACTTCCCTAAGGACTGTTGCAATGGTTGCTTCATCGAAAACACCATGTTTGCAATTTGTCACCTTCAATTTGTGTTTAATGACATCTAGGAGACTGCCACCTGGAAAAAAAAAATAGAACTTGATTACTAACTTTAGCAATACTTTTAATGCCATTCATATTTTTTAATGAGATTTTTAATTCTTTGATAATAGTTGACTGTCATACATTCATTGTATTATAGCATTAAATAAAATAAGCATACCTTCTAGCAGCTTCATAATAAGCCAAAGCTCATCTTTCACCACAAAACTTGTATAATATGTCACTACATTCTCGTGGTTGCAGTTGGACATTGCCTGCAATATAAAAACATTTAAAATCAGTTGTTGCTCAGTATTTATCCACATATAATTTAAAAAAATAGTATAAACACAGCCTAAGTTACTCAGAAATAACATAGCTTTTTATTGTGCAAGAACTTTTGAAATCGCTTCAGTAGTTTTTGAGTTATTACAAGACATACAAAAATCCATAAATACAAATCTTTCCGCTTTATAATATCAGTACAGTCTACAAGAACCTCTAAAATGTTGACATATTACAGTCAATTCAAAGTTATAAGTTTTCCAAATGATTCCACTCTAAACAACCTGTATGTTTTATTTCATTAATTGTAAACAGGACATTAAATGACCATAACTTACTTGTATCTCTTTCAGCAGTTCGTCCATAGAAGTATTCCATTTTTCCAAATTTATCCTTTTGATAGCACATTTCTCATTCTTTGGTTTGCATATAGCTCCATGCACAACAGCTGTTGCGCCAACACCTACAAATAAATTCAATAAGAAATAATAATCTAAACTAGTTTTGTTGTAATTCATATCTTAAGTTTATTTATAACTGTATTATAGTTAGATTAGTGAAATTAGAATTACATTGAATATGCGTTGCATTAAGTTAGTTATATTTAATCATTTTGAATTTGCATCTACTAAACACATATCTTAAATAAAAGCTACATTGATAATCATTTAACCTACAATCATTTACTTTACGGAAGAGGAAGGGGTTGCAAATTTATCATATTAAAAAGGTATTATCAATAACATTTACTTTATAACTTGAAATGTTTTTATTATGAATATACTTTGTTGACATTTCATCAGTTCGAATTTTGACACTTTCATCATATAAAAATTTTACGCGAAGAAATTCACTTATTATGTGGTAAACATTAATTGAATTACGGAAAAAAACAAAATTTACTTACCAATGACATCAAGCAATTCATAATTTTGTTCACCGCTGGGCCATGGCTCACCCCCAACTGGGATGACCGCCATTTTGCGAGTAAACCAACTGAGCCCCGGAGAAAGCGAATTCGTATTTATTGAGCATGCAGATCTCATATACGAAGACAAGGCATTTAATCGACCATCGACTCCAAACGATTTCTGTAAGTAATAAAATATATATTACAAAAATATTTTACATCAAAAAATTATTTAAAAAAACTTTAGATGTTATGCAATGGCAATACTAGTTTCATAAATACAAATGTTGTCTATGTCGTGAAATTCTACTGCCAAAAAACTTTTTGAATGAACAGATGACATGAGTTTATACAAATTTTTCGACAGTAGAAACAAAGCGTGGTCCAAACACAGTAATAACACTATTGTTATCTCTGTTTATTTTAAGAGAAAGAGAGACAGAGAGAGATAGGCAATATCGTTGTTACATATTTGCAACGACAGTAAAGACGTACTCTTACCATCCTTTCAATAAGAATATCAATGGTAAAATTGGAATAGTAGACTTTCGAGATAAAATATAAATCACAATATTAACAATCCACTCAATAATAAATTGGGCAAACGGTTTCAAAGAATTTGACTGATATGTAAATTAAAAAATAACTAACTACATATTCGTTTATTCACACCGCACCTCGACTACAGAACAAGAAAATGTACCAAAAGGCATGCTTTGCCTTTTGACCAATTTAAAAATTGCCTACTTAATTTCGCTGACATGATTACTGTATAAGTAGATTGAGGTTACGAGTTATTAAAATTTGCTTAAGCACTTTAAGGTAATTACAGGGATGTACTCTTAATTTAATTTTATCTATTTAATAAATATCAGAAGAATTGATTTAAAATAATTATTAATTTGTTACAATTAATTGTTATTGATTAGATTGATACTAAAATATTGTAGGAAATTATTTTATATTTAAATAGAACCGTTACCGCTCTAATACAATTTAATGCGACAAGATCCACGCGCAATATTTTGGATGTAACAAAATTATGGACAAAAGTTTCCCACGTTACATTACGTTATTTTTTTAATTTGGAGCTAAAGTATTTTAAGAACCGGACGAAAGATAGAGTGATGTATGATTTTGATCACTGAAAGCTCTTCCTTGCCGGTGATAGGTGATAGTACCGAATGCAGAGTTAGGCCCACTAAATTACCTAGTTTATACTATGTCTTCTTACGGTGAATGCAAAAGCAGTGCCCCGTCTGTACGCCTTATTAATTTCAAGCTTGTGACGTCACTAAATGAATAAATAACTTAAAGGCGTGTCAATTTAATACATTTAATACTTACCTCAGCTCGTAAGTAAACGTAGCCTGTTAAGTAAGAAGAAAGACAAACAGAGAAGTAAGTGACAAGGTTAGGTAGGTTGACACACCAAGGACGTGTACCTATCAAACATACCTGTCTATAAACTCCATTTGGCCCAGGAGCAACCACTTCGCCATTATTACTGGAAATAAGAACATCAAAATTAACCATATGAATATTCAGTGTTTCACTAATCGAGACGTCCGAAGATAGTTACAGCTTAAAGAATTCCAAATATATTTAACTATTAATATCATTGTTTAAAAAAAAATAACACATAAAACAAATTAAAAAAAAAAAACATACAGACGAATTAAGTACCTCCTTCTTTTGGGAAGTCGGTCAAAAATAGATAAACTAGCTTTTGTCCGCCACTTCCACGCGCTATTAAAAAAATGAGTTCTATTCTTCTAGATTATGTTCTATATTTAAATAAACACTACACTGCTACACACGTCCTTTAATCCATCCAAACTTTCTACAATATTAATTTTGTTATGATTTTTAAACCACAATGACGTTTCGTAAAATTCAATTCATTTAAAAAACTAATATTTTCTTTTCATTAGTATTGCTCTAGCTCTGAACTTCAGTGTTTATGGGGGGATGTAGTCTTAAATTAATTTAGATTTAACTTAGAATGGTCATCTGTTTAATATTATTATCTTCATGTAGGATCAATGTAAAACTAGCTTTCGCCCGCGACTCCGTCGAAAAAAACAAATAGCCTATGTGTTATTCCAGACTATCCTCTACGTCTATGCTAAATTTCATTAATATCTGTTCATCCGTTTAGGCTACAAACTCTAACAAACATCTATCCATCCATCTAAACATTAGTAAGATTAGTAACATTTCACTGCGAATGACATCAATGTTCATTGAAAATACAGAATATCTCAAAAGAAACAATTGTACGATTACATTGAATAAATAAAATTGTAGGATTCATTTATTTAAGAAACGAATAAAAAAACAATTAACAAATGAAATTGTTATTCGGTAACAAGCAAACTAGATCCGTGTAGCGTCTATTAAGAAATTTGTCGACGTAGCTTTTCATTAAGTTAATCAACATTGGGATTTGTTTAATTTTGAAAGTTCAACGTAATATTGTCGAGCACAATCAGAATTACAACCCGTTAATATCGCGCGATAATCAGGCTGTTGTTAAAAATATCAGTTAATTTAGACAATTGATGTTTGCCTTCGGGTTAGATTAATAGGGATATGCTCATTTTATTTTAATACTAGCTTTCGCCCGCAAGTCCGTCCACGTGGAATTAAAAACAAAAGTGAGTAGGTTATGTGTTCTTCCTGACTATGGTTTACGTCAATGCCAAATTTCATCGATATTCCGCCAGCTTTTTAGGCTATAAACTCTAACAAACATCCATCCATCCTTTTGTTTTTAGCAGGTAAAACCAAAACATCTATACAAATAAAATGAAAACTATCTTTCCGTTGTTTTTAAAATTCTTGTGTTGTTACTGTAGACAGCTACTTTAAAATAATGTGCTTGTAAATGAGAGCGATAGTTATAAGTAAAAAAAAACTAACGATATTTAAATGCGTGTAGTAAATTCAGAAAGAAGATCGCAAGTGTGACTAGGTATTATTAAAATAAGTGAAGTCGTGGGTTCGAATCCCGCCATTCGACTATTGTTGTGAGCCATGTCCCAACATAAGCCTTGCGGAATAATGTTATAATGTTCACATCTCGCGGAAGGCATTAAGAATGCCAAGTAGTAAAGACTTAGCTAAGAAGAAGATAGTTTTTTATTAGCAGATAAACTTATTTCTCGATATATAGCAGTAAATTTCGATCCACAATATCCTTTCGTTAATAATCCTAGATTAACAATTCTATTTTATAAAAATTGTCAAGGACTGATAATACCGGATATAAAAGCAGTCCCAAATAAAATCCCTTCATTCAACCGCCGATTCCAGTAAAAAGTGTGTTTTATTAAGTACATTCTTTACAACAATATGGCTGTTGCTAATATATTTTTACAGGTGAGTCGTTTCTTTTCATCAACTAAATCATCTGTGTTCATCATCTATTTGTCCCAATATTACTTTTTGATTTTTTATTTATTTATTAATTACTAGCTTTTGCCCGCGACTCCGTCCGCGTGGAATTAAAAAAAAACAAAAGTGAGTAGCTTATGTGTTCTTCCAGACGATCCTCTACATCTATGCCAAATTTCATTGAGATCCGTTCACTAGTTTAGGCTACAAACTCTAACAAACATCCATCCATCCATCTAAACTTTCGCATTTATAATATTAGTATTAGTATGATTATCTGTACGCTAAGGCTGATGTAAATGTATAAACAATTCAATCGCCATCTTTTAGAGTTGCAATAACAGTTGTGAAATAAGGTAAAAAAAAAGTTTTTGAAAATCAAACTTTTGTTGATTATGATAAGAAATTGAAATTAAAAGTATAAGCAATAATTATTTCTTTTAGATTTTTTTTTCTGTTTGTGATGTTGGCAACAAGTCAAATGTTACGATTTGTGCTAATTCAATTTCGCACATTAACAACATTACTGTAATAGTTTATATTCATAATACTATATATGTGTATATGTATATAAATAGATAGAAAACACGTGACATTCTTGAGTTTCCTTCAAGTCATAACACTGGTTTTACAAAAAAAAATTTAGATTCAACTTAACGGGTTTCTCGTAATAATCCCATTCACTAGGCCAAATTATTCAGTTGTACCCATTCTTTGTAACTAGACGTTTCCATAAATAATAAACCTTATAACCATATCAACAAAATTATACTACAATAATTTATTTATCTATACATATAAAATAATCACCTGTTCTTCTTAGATTTTTTCTTCTTTGAATTATTCAGCCCGTCTTCAGTTATCTTATACATTTTGAATAATTTGCTTGATGTCCACTTTTTCATCGTAAAATTATACCACCGCCGTGGTCTGGAGTGTTCTGCTGCAACAAACGTTCTAATTTTATACTTGTCCCAAGGAACCGTCCGGTGGCCCAACGTTAGTCCCTTTCTTTTACGAAAATGATGGAAAGGGAACGTGGATTTGACGGTGGAGGAGACGCATAGGAAGGGGAAACATCTTCTGTGTCTTCTCCTCCGTCGCTTAAGGGTAGGCAACGCATTCGCTATTTCGAATGACTATGGACAGCGGTCGCTTCACCAGTTTTGTGGACTCAGATGGCTCCTTGCTTGCCACCTTAATATAAAAAAAAATTGGGCACTCTCATTATCTGCTAAACATCCTCTCTGTATCGAAAGGTATCGAAACTCTTATAGAATTAAGCTCACCTGCACTACCTTTCGATTTATGTTTAATAAAAATTGTTTTCTTTTGTGTACAAAGTTCGTTTTATTATATTTAACTTTAATTTAATACTGTATGCAAAATACTGCACCATATAACTGTTTTAGTTAAAACTAGCTTTTGCCCGCGAGTCTGTCCGCGTGAAATTAAAAAAGAAAAAGTGAATAGTCTATGTGTTCTTCCAGACTATGTTCTTCATCTAAGCCAAATTTCATCCAGATCTGTTCAGCCGTTTAGGCTACAAATTCTAACAAACATTCATCCATCTAAACTTTCACATTTATAATATCAGCATTTAGTAGTATTAGACCCATAGTCTTTAAAGTGAAAAACCATAGGGAAATCCAAGTTTAGTAAATTAACTAATACAAGCCGATGATAATAGTATAAGCAGTTAGGAAATATACGTAGATAGGTATAAAAACTAATGACAAACAAATACTACAGCCTATAGCCTGTATATATGGCGGGCAATGAACAGTATTTGATTGTGTTTTTGACGTTTTTAAAGAGTGGAGATTTTTTTTGTTATTTCCGTTTCTAAGTTCTGTCCTATGATGTTAACTCAAGGCAATACATGTCATGCTAGTATAGAGCGGCTTCACTTTGTGACTAATTCAATCAAGAATGCACTTGATAAGGTTATTTGAAGTCAATTATCTTAGCGCTTGTTAACATATTTAATAGTCGTGATGGCTTTTAATAAATTGCTAATACACAATTGCAATGCAATTTGTAAGAAAAACGCGCATAGCAAAAGCAGAGGGTACACTGGATGTCCACTCTATGTACCCGATGTGTACCTAATGCATCTTAGTACAATGTGCATGTGTTCGTATTATTAAATCTATGCGATCTTCACTCTATTCTCTATTTCTTGATACACATTGTGGATACAGGATAGATATAAGGAGGACGCTTATTGTCCTTTTCATTTATGGGCAAAATCAACAAGCAAGAATTGTATTTATGTATGGATGTGAAAGCTAAAGAGAAGAAATGAAGAAAGAGAAGAAATCCAAAATTCTTAACTACCCTAAACCTAGATATATTTCGCTTTAATTCGTTTTTTTAATTAAATTATTGATATACTTAATATTAGTTATATGCCGTTATGTTGTTTATAAATACTTGATAGATTAATATCAAAGTTAGTTCCTACATTACACTGCAAGAATGCATTAACAACTGGTGCATAATGTCTACATACTAATAAGTTCAAGGCCACAGGTCAACCAAGACAGTGAGACAAGGAACAACGACCAATTCCTACTCCTTAATAACCAATTTAAATTGATACGAACTTTACAATAATATTATATTGATACCCTTCGTTAAACACAAGTATGAAACTTTAATAACAAACAAAACATACCTTTTATTATTCTTAAGCCGAAAATTCGAGTATTGTAACATATTGTATGTTTTTTCTTTCTATGCCGCTTCATAAGATTTTAAAAACAAAACAACTCAAGGCTTTAACTCAATAATATGAACAATCGTTGTGAAAGGTACATGACTACTATCAAATATGTTCGGTCCCGTAGCGGTTATACGTGTTCAACCTTAGAACAGATACGAGCGAAATGACGAGTGCCCCCTGGGCTAAGTTACAATTACAGAGGTCATAAACATTTTTTAACAAGAGTTTATTGCAAAAAAAAAATAAATAAAAACAAATAGAGAATATACTAATTATCAGAATAATCAGAAAATTATAAACGCATTATTAACATTTCTTTTTCAAATCAAATTTATATCTCTATTTGATTACCGTTAAACAGAAAATATGTTCAAATGTGTACGTACGATAATGTAAAATGTTTACCATGCCTGTTATCCTTTGGTATTAGTGTGGAGATCTCACCGGACGGACACCAATCAAAGCGCGCAAGAGTCGCAACTAATCAACAGTACGTGAGACGGACGCCTCGACAAATGCGTCATCTTAACATTCGTCACACCAACAAACCAATACGCCGTGAATTATTTACAATAGACCCGAATACTGAATGAAAATATACCATTATTGGATCCTAAAGAATCTAATTATCTAAGTATGTGATGCAAAAAATTTTGGTTCAGGTTTCTTGGGGTACTTATAAAATTTCAACCATGTAATTTCGCTGGTGATATTACTTGTACAGAATTGGATTATCATCTCTATTATTTTTATAGTAGATCATAAAAAAAAACGAAATGTTTTGCATACATTTTTAGTACATAAAAATAAAATTTCAAATTCATAAATTATGATTTATAATGTCTCACGAAAGTTTTAATAAGTTAATACAAAAATTGTTGTCAATACATTTGATGACGAAAATCATCATCAGAACTAAGACTAGCCTGCATTTAAACAATGATTACGATATTTTCTAATTAAGTCTGTTTAGTTTCTCATTTGTACTTATTTTTTTTATTAATATAGATAATATTTTTCACTCCAAGTGAAGATGGAATAGGTTTTAAGTCTGCATATATGTTGAGAATGACGACCGTACCCACTATTGCCAATTATCTTATTGTCTCTTTCCGTTGTTATTTTTAGCTTTATTTTGCGAGTGGGTTCTTTTATAAAGGCTAAATATAGTACAATGATGTGGAGGTAGAAATAAGCCAACTATTAGAATAGGCTTATTGAATATAAATACGTTTATTAAAAGTACACTAGGATTCTGAATTGTCAATACTTTATTTAGAGATGTTTTTGTAATCATGGAATGCCGAAATATATATTTTATTATATCTTAAATTTTGTTAACATAATTACCAGCGTCCACTTTACGGTGCTATACAAAATACTTTTAATAAATGATAGAAACAGTGGAAAAATGCACACTAATTTTTCTTGCTTGAACCAACACGCATATATATTTTCACTACACTTATGTTGTTTCACACACAAACACACTTTAGTTATTATTTTTGGAAATCAACAGTGTTTCGTTACTTTTTAATCATGTAAAAATTCTTGTGCGATAAACTTTTAGATACATGAGTTTTCCTTTATATTGTGCTTTTGGTATTGTTCTGTTGTCTAATAATAATTAAATCTCTGCAGGTATTCTGTGTGGCTTTTATCTTATCCCCTTTGTTGGCGTCCGAAGAATCTGCGCAGGATTTCATCGAGCATGTATTAAGGATACCTAATCCGGATAAAGTGCTCAACTCAGTGTTAGGACGTCTTGAGAGGAATCGACAACTCGCACTCGCGGCAAGAACACGTCAACAGTATGACGAACATTGTGATGAACCTTCTGAAGTAAGTTACAATTTACTCAGTCGTTTTTGCCTTTGTTTGTCCTAGTTACGTAGACCTCATCTATTAATCGTTGTAAAATCGATCGACTGTCGTCACCATCTGATGCACTCCCGTAACCTTAACCAGGTAATCGGTGTAATTATTTATATCGTTTTTCAATTCTTGCAAATAATAAAAAGTGTATCCTTTGTCGATTATTTAACCGTTATTTCACTCAGCCTTTAAATGTAGAGAAATAAACCTGTACTTAACGTTAAAAGTTAACCATAAAAAACTGTAGGTAGATGCATAGAATGGAGGAATGAAAGAAAGAGAGAGAGTGGAAGAGAGAGAGAGAAGGAAAGAGAAATATCGCCGTAAAATAACAAACTCCAAAATATATTTTGTCGTCCAATTTTACCCCTTTTACGAAGGGTAAGAAAGACTTAAATTTAAACTAAAAATCACGATAAAATCTTGTAAAATAAATATTTTATTCCACTGTTTATAATCAGTTGTTAATATGAAAATAATATTATTAAGTAACGTAAGAAAATTGTTAAAACTAACGTAATGGTAGCCTATACTTTGACTGAGACACAAGAAAATGTCTCCCATTTTCATACGAGTCTACAATTACGTTTAGGAATTAGAAAGGTTATTAGAAAGAAAATACAAAGTAATATGATAGAATAGGAGTAAAAATAACAAAAAAACACCTCAAAGTACACCAAGTATCCACCCAATCTTTGGGCGTAAGATTTAGGTTAATGTTACACCTTTGAGTTAAGTCTTAAGGATTTCACGAATCCAAAATCTGTAATATAAACATTATAATAACCAAAAAGTAATCTTAAATATATAACCTAACACAGATACAAAGAAAATTTATAGGTTAAGTGTTTATTTTCAATCAGAGTAACATCAATCAAGTTAAAAAAAATCTACGAACCGTGTCGCCGTCTATCCAGTCGCTTACTAATCGAATGATATGATTTTGTTGACTAATTAAGCACAATTTTATTGAACAGGGGAAGCTTCGCCCATGATTGAGATTTTTATAATATAGTTAACATCCGTACCGTTATAAATCAATACTGACGAGATGGGATAGATGCGCTCTCCGAAGGTAGTACGGGCGCATGTCCCGTTCGCCCGGCCCAAGCTGCGAAGCGTATTAGAATCGCTATTACGTAATATTTGTTGCAATGTCCTGACAACGATTTTATTGTAGGTACTACCTGAATATACCGAGACATTGCCGGGGTCGCGAGAGCGCGGTCTAAGACAACTCGGCGTACAGGTATAAAACAATTAAGTATAACAACTTCAGACAGATAGCATTATATTGTTTAAAAATAGCTTATTTTATGAAGCTTTAAAATAAATAAACGAATAAATTTCTATTTTATCAACTTTAATGTATTTCAAAATGTATATTTTTATTTCATAAATAAGAAATAATCTAATATTAAATTTTTAATTTTTAAACTTACCTCTTTGGTTTTTACTTGAACTTTTTCAGTACTTTTATAACTTGAATGTAATAAGTTATACTATTAATTTATGTAATACCTGTTTTGATATAATTTAATATATTAAACAATGTCAAAATGTAAAAAGTGCTTATAACTTGTACCGCGTCCGATTTTCGAACCAATAAGCAGGACGATACCTAGGCGCACCCTTTCTTTGTTAGGTCAGTGCGAGTGAACGAGAGGCCGAATTGGAATGCATGTTATCGTTATACCGATGCATTCATTCTTCTTAATTACACACAGATAATTTAATTGATCACTCTGAGAAAAAATTAAACAGATTAATTGCCAAACTGAGAGTCCTTTAATGACACATGAAAGGTACAGATTACTGTTAAAAGCATGAAGCTGTGCTTGTTTGTTTAAATAAGTAGTCATCTGATCTATTTAATGGACAGGCTCTAAACCGTGGTATTTTGTGTTTATTTCATATTTACCTTTTTGGGTCCGAATTGCCACTAACTGTGAAACTAAGCTCTGGGCTCCCTCAGGAGCCTAGGCTCGGGGCGTTACTTTGTTTTTATTACCGTATTGGTGCCTTTTAGCGCTGACGATTGCGATTGGTAGCAATAGTGAGGATTCTAATTAATAATATAGAAAGATTAAACTAACAATATCCAAGCATTCGCTTATTCATTTAGTATAAAGATCAGTTGTATAGCCCAACAAATTTATCTGACTCGGTGGACAAAAATCATACTAAATTAACAAACTAATTAGTGCCATTATAAAGTCAAAAAAGTATTACAAGACTTGCTAGGTTTTGTTTTATGTGATTTTCTATACCTTTTATAATTGATCTAACACCGATATCAACGCCTCTAACCAGACCCCAAGAAAAAGTGACTTTCGATTAACGATGTCGCTTCTAGAGTCGACTAAATGTGTCAAAACGTATAGGAAGGGATACGTGACAAGCACGTGACTTATCAAATGTTATTTACAGTTCTATACATTTTAAACTTTTCGATCAGCGATAATTAAATGTTACTTTGTCTAAGGGGGCTGGTCAAATAAGTTTGTCAGACTATTATGTTGCAATCATCAAATAATATTTTGATTGCAGAAACATTACCCTATATGTCACTTGGAGCGCAAGATCAGAAGGTTGAATACAGACGAATATGAGTACAGACCGGCTTATTATGAAGAGATACGATGCACCGCTTCCTCTGATGATGAAACATCCGCTAATGAGGTATATCATGTAATGCGCAGGGTAGTTCAAGAATTTATGATAATTTGAATCTTTATTCTAGCTCAGGACTAAGGACTAAACGAGGATAAATGGGCTATCTGCATTTCACTATAAGGATTTAATGTACAACAGTATTACGGAATTATGAAGAAAGAGAAATGTCAACAATTTAAGCAGATTTAGCAGCTAACAATTTCCTATTTTACAATTTATTAAAAATCTCTTTCAGATATGCTCGAGTCTCGGATTCTCATGTATTCAATGGAATAAAACAATTCATTTGACACGTCGGCGTTATTCAAGGTGACCAAATATATCCATAAAAATGTCCTAACACTCGCTTCTACACATTTTTAAATCGCGGTCACTTCACTATTTTGGCAACACCAAATGACTTGGTTGGTTGACCTTAGACAGGAAAAATTGACAACTTTGTGAGGTCTCACCATCTCTCTTGATAGATAACTAATGCATATATCGTCGATTACGTAAATGTAATTTTAATCTGTCTATTTTGCAGTGATTGCTGGGAAACAAAAACAATGGTAATCCCGGCTGGTTGCGAGTGCATGTGGCCCGTTCATCGCCTCGGTGACATAAATCTACACGTTTAAAGCTCTTGTAAATAGAGCTGTCGATGAGAAATTATTACGCTTCTGACCACATTTTTAATTAATATTAAGTAATAGTTACACGTTATTGTCTAAGAATTTTTCTTATTTTCCGTTTCAGTATTATTTTCATTTACATTTCTAGTTACATAAATAGTATTGAATGTTAAATTTTTTGTATATTGTTTAAGCGTCGATTGTTTTTTTGGGCAACCCTATCTGTTTTGATTTAATTACAATATAACTTTTTAGTAATTTATTCTTAACATGCTTTCACCAAATATCTAAAATGGTTTTTTTATATTCCGGTCAAAGGTCTCAACATTTTTGATAGTACTTGTAAAATAAATGTAGATTAATATTATAAAGTTAGTATTTTAAGGAAATCATGTATGTTATTTTTTTGTTTTTTTGTTTTTTGTTTCATTGTTAAAAAATTGTTATACTTTAATTAAATTATTTCGTATTCAAAGTCTACAAAGTTATTAAACGTTAGATGCAAAAATACTTTCCTTTTTATTTTTACCATTTTCACCTCTAACTGAAAAATAAAGGACACGCCTTACGATGAAACTGCTCTTAATATAACAGTGTGAAATTGTTGCTGTGATAATTATGGTAGGGGCAAAGATAATATATTTTAGACTTATTCCTGATATCAAGAATAACAAGGTGTCCTCTAAGACATAAATCAACCTAACTACGTGCGTTAAACTTTAATTATCTTACTAATATTATAAATAGGAAAGCGTAGATGAATGGATTTTCGTCGGAGTTTGTAGCCTAAAGCTGAACGGATTTCAGAATTTCAGCATAAATCTAGGACATAGTCTTGATGAACACATAGGCTACTTGCTTTTGTTTTATTTTTAATTCCATAAGGAAGGTGTCGCAAGCGAAAGCTAGGAGTCTGTTTTTATCCTAAATACATAGAAATTTAAAGTCAATAACAAAATTTAAAAATAGAACTAAGTAAAGAATGCACCCACTATACGATAATTTACCAATAGAAAGCTAATATGAATGTAGGAATAATTAATATTTCATATAGTCGCAATATGAAAACAATTTCTCGGATAAAATCCTTACATATAGTTGACTTAAGCTTAAAAATTACTTAGAAATAATTTTTTAAACAGTCAAGCGATAACAAATAAGGAGAAGTGATACCCATACTGATTTATGCAAGAATAAATAAAAACGAAAAAACGACGGAAAAATATGGTAATGGTCTTCTCGTAGGTTATTACAGTGTAGAACGCATGCGCCTGAGTCAGTTTGTTTCACGCTTTTGTAGAGAGAGGTCGCTTCGATCAAGTTTCTTAACACCATAACATCGTTGATATAGGGTACGTATTTTAAGAAAGCGAATAAAATTTAAATGAAGCTTTAATTCACAACTTAAATATCCTTAACATAATCGCCTGATTTGCTTTAATTAATCTATTTACTAATCTATCTATATTAAGAAACTAAAATTAAAAGAAATGAAAATTTAACCGTCAGCGAGTTTAGCAGCACCATATACCTGGGGCTATGTACTTGAAAACTAGCATAGAACACTTTATTTTAATGAAAACGTTAGTAATTTTGCTTTTTAGACTTCTTTTATATATGAAAATTACGAAAGATTACTGATCTAGATTATTTCAATTTTTTTTACGTGAAAAACCAATATAAACCGTTTTATTTTTCTAAATGTTTGGGGGCAGATTTAAAAGATAAATTGTAAGAAAACGTTTATTGTATAAAACCTTAATGTTGGATTAAGAATATTTTTTTTAGTAAAATTTGAACTGTTATTTTTCTTCTCTGTAACTCACAATAGTGATATTCTAAAAATTATTACGCGGGTCTAAGAAATATGACTAGGTAAACTGTAAATACCATAATTTAAGAAAATCGATATATGAATTTTGATTGAAAGAACACAAAAATATTATTTGTCAGTGTTCAAAAGGCACAAAAAGTAAAAAATAAATCAAGTTACAAATTTAGAAGTGAGAGCCCTGGTAGGATATAGGAAAATCGTTTCGATAGTGGTGGAAAAGTTGTGGTCACATAGTGGTTACAAGAAAAAAAACATACCAGATGAATTTTTAAACTTATCAAATCATTAAGTAGTTCCATAGTCAAGCAATTATTTAGCCTTTGTTCGTTTTGTACCTACATATTATTCCATGACCTTTATCTTGCATTGTTTTTCTTGTATTTACAATGATTGTCAACGCAAAATATTTGTATCATTTTTTGCAATATGTAACTGGTTGCCTATTTTCCTATAAAATCTATGTGGAATACTGTGTTTTTAAAAGGGTTACCGGAGTTTTGATTGCAAAACATTTTTATTATATTATACATTACAAAGCTTCGGTTTCTACGGCTCACGATAGCTTACAGATAAATTTATTTCCAAACATATTCGTTAATTATGACTATATCTTTGGTAAAATAGATAAATCTAAAAAGTTAATATCTTATTACGTCTTTAATAAAAACAAATATTCTTTTTCGATCAAACGTAACGTATTAAGCTGAAAAAACTTTTTTTATTAAAAAAGAATGATGATTAACGTCGATAAATATTAAAAGTTTGTCAAATATTTCCGCAGCAAAACTTCGTGGTAATCGTAAATATGGCGTTTTAAATAAGCCAAAATTTACCAAGTGATACAATCAATTACAAATGTAACCGGTTCGATAGGGAAAGTACGACCTCGTTAAAAACCAATATCAAGCAGAGTCTTTTCTGTTTTTATAAGTGAATGAAGTCATTGAAAATAAATTCTCGTAATTCCTTAAATTTTCTCTGCGCTCTTTATTTGCCCTCGATTGTTGGTAAAGATTCCGTATACATATCTAATTGATATTAATTAATATTTGAAAATTACTCCAGCAATATTTTCAAAATATTACTATTGTCTCTGAATACTTTATCGGTGACAAGGACATCCCTTAGTGTTTATTAAAACTGAAAGCAAGTGCCTGAAAAGTGAACAAGGTAATGTTACATTCATAAACTACTTTGGTAATGTTATAATACGTATGCGTAAAGCACGTAAAGATAATAAAAATTAAAAACATAAAAAGAGCAAAAAGTTGTTGAAACGAAAAAAAAGTACAATACCTTTATTGATATATTGAGCCATAATCAATTTGTCCTAAATACCGCGTAGGATTTTTTATTACATTTTTGAACTCGTTGAATAACGCATTGAGATTAAACGTACTTTCAATTATAGATTTTATTCCTATGTTTTTAAGTTAGCTTTTGCTATACACGTATTTACGTAGTAATGTCTTATATTACAAAGTAAAAAAATGCTATTATAAATACCTCTTATTAGTCGCATATAGGTCGAAATTGGTACATAATTCATAATCAAAGTTTTTTTTTTATTTCCGAATTATAATTTTTATGCACTTTTCTCCACAAAAACTTTTAACAATCAAATGTCGCTTACTTAATGGTACAAAGCATTCACAGTATTCAATGTAAGTACATAAATATAATGACACATAACAACGTGTACGAACACATAGAAACATTACATGCAAATATAATTATTACCTACATTTAAAACGCTTGCTGAATGCTATGCGAACTTGCTAGTGCGAATTTTTAATTTTTAACACCACGATTTGTGCTGCCAGTTTAAAAGAAGACTATGTAGTTATTATCAACACTTGAAAACATTTTTAATGTTACCCTCTAAAAATTTTATCTTAATTAAAATATTAAATTAAATACCATCACCTACCTTCGTTCGATGTATTTTCCATTTTCGATAATCCGTTGAAACTTTTGAGACAATTAATTCCAAGGTCATATATTTATCGAAAGTATCTAGACTTTATTTCAAAGCTTGTTAAACGCGATTAATGAAATAAGTTTATTGTGAAATTTTGCACTAGACACAAATAACTGCCTGAATTTAATAATTTGATAATACTCTCACTGTCCCTTGAAAAAACTGACATTAGTTAGGGAGGTGCCAACGATTTCAATCGAATAATTATAACTATCGAATAAACAAACCGTGCGATTGTTATCAATAGAATTAAAATGGATAGTAACAAAAACTTTATTGTAGAGTAACACAAAAACTAATACAGAAAAAAAAACGATTTAATTTTCGTTTAAGTTTTTGTATATCGCGATATTAATTGAAGTAGAAACTGGAAATATATTTTATACTCTTATTTATAAATAAATATTGGAAAGTAAATAAAATTTTCTCGAAAAGATTAGTTTTTATTTTCATTTAGTACTAGCTGTTGCTCGTGACGTCTGCATGAAATTAAAAAATAATAAAAGTACAGCTATTTAATAGTAAAAGATCTTATGAAATCGGACCAAAGTTTTTGAAAATTTATTTGTAAGTAAAGGATGCTTTTAGCGAGACGGTTCTAATAGTTTTAACATTTGCACTAAAGTAATAGCCGTATATTTTTTTCGACATACATAGTCAAGGGTACCTACATTCCTATAAGACTGTAAGTTGATGGAAATGTTAAGAAAATAAATGAAAATTAAAAAAAAAACTCAATCTCGTGCGACAAAAAAATTATTCAAGGTTAACGTTGCAGAAATGTTTTAGCCCAACATCTAATTTTGTTACCAAACACCACTTCGAACAAATCATCTTTTAAGGTTATTTGGGGAGTTTTAGTAAGAAAAAACTCACATAAACCATGCCTTTTCAACAAAAAGAGATTTTTGAAAGAAAAAATCATCTAGATATCTAATTGCAGATATCTTTCAATTTATTATCTTTTGAGTTCTCCCTTGATATGTTATGTATAAGTCGGTTTTCTTTAAAGTGATTTTTCATCCTAATTAAACTTTTTTTTCTTACTGTTCTTAAGTTTTTTGATACTGTGCAGATTAAGAGCATTGATTACAACGATGTCAGGTTCAGTTAAAAAAAAAACTTTAATTAAAACAAAAATTTGGTAAATACATGCTACTTAGTAGCATGTACTTGTAATAAAGATCTTGCTATCCACAATTCTTATTCAATAGCTTAATACTAAATCATTAAAACATATTTTGTAAACCAGCACATAAACAATTCCCGCCTCAATTGACCGTAGACCCCTTGAACTTTTCACGTCTTAGTGCGGACAATATTAATATTAATGTGGATACTAATTATCTAAAGGAAAACTATAAAACGTGGTAGAATGATAATTACACGAGGTCTCACTAAAGCTGGTCACTACATGTTGCAATTGCATTACGCAAATTGCCATTCCAAAGATTACTAAAAATGTGGTTGAGTTTGATCTTGGTACAGTTTCCTTTAATTGGTACCTCCTTGCTCTAATAAAATGATTAGTACGTTAACTGCCCAGATATATTCCGAAAATGACAAAACCAGTGTAAGCAGAATTTACGATTTTCCTAACACTTTTCTTATGAAGACCGTCGTTTACTTTCACCACATAGTAATACAAAAGGGGAATATCCCAAATGCTAAATGTTTGAGTCAAATTATTTACTTTAAATCTTACTGACTAACATTATAAATGCGAAAATTTAGATGGATGGATGTTTGTTAGAGTTTGTACCATAAACAGCTGAACGAATCTCGAAAAAATTTGACCTTGAAACACAGTCTGAAAGAATACATAGGCTACTTACTTTTGTTTTTTTTTTACAATTGCGGTCGAAAGCTTGTTTAATAATACAGTAAGTCATTGATTTTAGAAAACAGGGATTTTTCCGTTTAATGTTTTTGAATAGAATGTATTCTAAACTTGTCATGTTTATATATCACCGGCTAAGTCTTTGTCAAGTTTCAAAGATCAGACAGGATTGCATGACTTAGCGCATTTTTTGCTCTAGTGGCCTGCTCCCACTTGCGTGGGTTGGTCAATGCCATTTTATAACTAAGCGATTTTGCACATAGTATTGTCAGCAATAAATTATCTGGAAGCTACCGGTGTGGTAAGACCCAAGTCTTAACTCCTCAAGGTATTGTGAAATCAACTCGCTATTTGGGTGTACATACCGCGACCGACTCGCTCGCCGATGCACACAGAATGGCATTATTAAAACAAACACGTTAGAGTTATTTCCAAATTTTTTCAACATCCTAAAAATAATCTGAAGTGTCTTGAAGGTTAAACAAGTCGATAAAATATTTACTGTCACTTACCATATTTGCATAAGTGATTCCTCTTATGACGTTTTTACAAAATTCAATAGGTTAGTAAACGCACTACTTAAAACCGAATAGTTGACCCCCTAATATTAAAAAGCCAAACAGCAAATACGGTTTTTTGATTAATTTAAGTATGTTACCCTTGTTTTATCGCGCTAAACTTTTAACAACTTACGAAT